TGTGTGTGTGTGTGTGTGTGTGTGTGTGTGTGTGAGAGAGAGAGATGTTTGACCGGTTTGCCAACCTGCCCAGCATACAATTTTTGACTGTTTCAATTTTTTGCTCACCTCACACACTTGCATTGGCAAATAGAAACATGTATGCATGCACAGAAACACACAAACACACACATACCAGATAAAGGATAATACTCTTTGCAGGAACTGTCTGACCCCATATCCTGTATTCCCAGCTGTTACCCAAGAGTCACGCAGAGACAGAGAAATAGACAGAAAGATAGATAGAACTTCCCTCCTCCTCCTCTGTGGGGGTGTGTCAAAATTGTGTCTATTACGTCCCAGAGGCAAACCTTGCATTTCAGAATTTCTGATTTCCTGAATGCACCTTAGCACACGCACATACTGAAACACTAACACACCTGCAAACTATGCCATCTGATGCCAGAGATGATGCTCCTGTGTAAGAAACAGGTTGCTACTGGAACAGCAAAGAGAAACTGAGGACAGAAAGGAAAGAGAAACAACAAGTTGTGAAATAGACGGTAACTGTGGCAATTTTTGGACTTATGAAAGATGGATGAATGAGACTATGGGGATAAGGAAGAGACATGCGCAGAGCAGAATGAAGAGGACAAGTCTCCATAGGACCCTAGGATACATATATAATTGCGCACAAGCATAAAAAGACTCTACAGATGCTTTTGAGAAGCATCAGGTAAGCCATTTAAAGTTCAAAAAACGTATTTAATGACTCTAAAATACAATGTAAAATACCCTGTGTAACGCTTGTGAAGGATGCACACAATATGAAAAACAGCGCTGTAAATTCTTAAATGAAAGACGAGAAGAATGTGCCATGTTTCGATTTCAAGGAAAGCCAGAATGTGGGAAAAAGCAGGGGTTAAGCAAGGAATAGTGCTGTTGCCATTCTTCAGAACAAAAAAAGTGATGATGATTTTATTTGTGCTCCATCTACATGTATAATTTATTCAGACACTCCAGTTGACATTCTGCATATTTCATGCAGTAAACCCTGTAGATTAACTTTTATTTTATCAGATTCTGTGTTATAATGAAACACAGTAAAGCGTAATGACTTTTGTGAATTGATTACAGAAGTTTTACTGGAAACATGTAGCTGCTTGTCTTTAGTCACTGAGGCCGAGTATGAAATTTTAAAGGAATAACTCACTCATAGTTGCTTTTGTCTAATATATATCAACAATTTAAAACAACAACAAGATCCATTTAGTTGTTTTTTATCTAACATGCCCATAACGTCAATGGGTTTTCAAAATGCACATCAAGCACAAAAGTTTGGGTTAGTTTTAAGGAAGATAATAACTGTTAATATAAAAGAACATTTGTTATGACAGTTGCAATAATAAAAAGAGCGGCTACACTAAAAGAAAGTGCAAAATCACTAACAATATTTACTGTTGTCTAAAGAAGGAAAAGAAAAGTGTCTCGTCACCAACAAAGAAAATATGTCTCCCTTTGCTTTAGCAATCATTAGGCAGTAATTTGTAGTAATAGTTAGGTGACTGGATGAAACAGCCTAAAAGAAATGATGACAGTGTATATTTTCAGATAAATAATGGGTAACAACGACATCGCTACCTGACTTTGGATAAATGATGGGGCAGGTTTTCCAATGTCATTTGTTATTCCACTCAAATAAATCTACTGTCAAGTAGATCAAGTAATTGTCAAGTAATTAACATTTTCAATTAAAGTAACTCTGTTTCATGCTCGGAAACAGTGTTACTTTAATTGAAAGGGAGGTTGTGTATAGGAAATGAATTCCTGCTGTACCATGTGTGAAACAAAAAAATAAAAAAATAAAAAATGTATATAATAAATGAATTAATGAATTAATAATGGCCGGTAATGAATGTAAACCCTTCTTTTGTATCTCTGAAAGGCTGGGATGCAGTTGTATTACTTAAATTCTCGATTACTACATAAAGCTTTTCATGTACAGGTAAAGATTTGTACTTTTTGAGCATACTGAGCAGTTATCATTGAGCATTAAGTGCTGATGAGGCAGATGGCACATTTAAAAACTACAGGCGTTGGAAAGATTTGAGAATAAAACCTGCGTGACTTGAAAAAGCAGAATTATGTGAGATGATAGTTTGTTTTGCAAATTCGCTCAGTCATTTTCTATCAGTTATTCTTCACTTAAATGTTCTCTTGTCTAGTCTACACTGCATGCACCTCAGAATGATTTGATTTTATATTATGTTTGGAGGAAAATACTTCTATTTTGCATTTTATTAAAGACTCAAAAATGATTCTTTTTTTCTTTATTATGAATACAAAGAATATGCCTATTTTTTATGTGAGGAGACACACATCACTAATATTAGATCATTTTGCAGTTTGTCCGTTTTTTGTGTACTACATCCCTGATAGCAAGATTAGATTGAATTAATTTTGATTTTTCATCTGAATCATCATTATGGTCAAGATTGAAATCTCAATGCTAAATAAATGTTGAATCAATGCAAAAATACTAACCCACTTAATAAAGGTGGATTTATAGTTCACTAGGAAATTATATTGAAAGGCCACTGATTTATAGTTGAGTGGGAAATTAAAGCTATTATTACTTGGACAATTCCATCGCACCCCTCTTTTACAGTGGTCCACCCCATTTGTTCAGTAGTCACTGATTTATAGTAGACCGGGATATGATTTTTAAAAATCATGGATTTATGGTTCGATATCACTGAACCACAGAGAATACATCAGGTAAGCATTCACTTATTTTCTAATATTTCAATTTTACCAAATCTGTTCTTAACCAGTTATATTTATATAAGAATATTGCTGAACACTCACAGTGATACATATTCTAGATGTTTGACTGTCAGAAAGGTCATCAGTTGAAATTAGCTTGCTAATGTAACTGATTACTTAGATGATCAAATTATGTTAGCTAAGATGAATTAGAGAAAGATAGCGACATCTTGAGTAGAAAACATCAAATCTGAAGAAAGTATGCTTATTCCTTATTTTTTTCATTTGCTTTAATATATAT